ATTATTGCTTATACTCTCTCTACAACAAAATTAGAGATAAGGGCAAAATAGTTTCTGCTGGGTATCGAGGGGGTGGGGGGGAGAGGGAGGGGGCGGGAGGATAAGGGAGGGGGTTGGGGAAAAGGGGAGAAATGACCTAAACATTGTATGCACAGATGAATAAAATAAAAATTAAAAAAAAAGAAAAGAAAAACAATGAAAAAAATATATAAAATGAGTTCACCTGTGTCAGCAGCTGCAGCTGCAATCAACAGGTGACAGTCAGTCAACAACCTTCACGCCCATATCTCACCTGCTGCTGATCACCTGTATGGAAGAAGCAGGCGTCCATTCTAGAACCCATTTGTAACCTATTTGCACTCTCTTCTCCATGTCTTTCTTTGTGTTCAGGAAAATAAATCCAAGTCATTTTCTAGATCTCATTACCTTCCCAATTCTTTTTGAAGGAACTGCTCCCTTTTGATCACTTCCTTTTTCTTTAAGGAATTTCATCAGCCATTCTTTCACTTAAGGTCTTCCGGCAATAGATTCTCTTAGATTTTTCCTCAGTTCAGAAGGTCTTGATTTCCTCTTTATACCAGAAGAAATAGGATTCTGAGTTGACAGTCTTTTTCTTTCAGTCCTTGAAAAATGTTTCCAGTTTTGCATCCGGGCTTCATGGTTTCTTGTGAGAAATCTTGTTTATGGAATTGCTTATTCCCTGTAGATATGGAGCTATTTCTTTCTTGCTGCTTTCAAGAATTTTCCTTTGTCTGTAGTTTTCAGAAGCTTGGTATTTTGGTATGGATTTCTTTGGGTCTATCCTATTTCAGGTTCCCTTGGCTTTTGGAAGCTGTAGGGTTATATCTTTAAAAAAAAATACTGGCAGTTTCCAGCCAGTATTTCTTTTTCATCTTCACTTTCTTTCATATCTCCCCTGGGACCCTGATGACCTGAAAATTAGATCTTTTGTAATAGTCTCACTGTTCCTTGAGGCTCTGTTCATTTGTTTCAGCCTTGTTTTTCCTGGTATTCAGATTGGTTAGTTTCTGTGGCTCTATTTTCTAGCTCACTGATTTTTCTTCTCTTATATCTGATGTGGAGCATATCAGTTAAGTTTTGTAGTTTAGTTATTGGATTTTTTTTTAATTTATAAAATTTTTTTCTTTTTTGGTGTCACTAGGGTTTGAACTCAGGGCCTCATGCTTGCAAGGCAGATGCTCTACCACTTGAGCCATTCTGCCAGCCCTTAATTCATAAAATTTCCACTTGATTCTTTTTTATATTTCCTATTTCTTTGTTGAGAGTTTGTTTCTCATTCATTTCAAGCATGCAATTTTAAGATCATTGTCAGATGATTCTAACATCTCTTTCACCTTGGCACTGGTATTTATTGACCATCCTTTATAATGAAGTTTCAGATCTTCCTGGGTCTTGGTTTGATGATTGATTTTCAATCAAAATCTTGACTTTGGGGTATTAGATTAAGAGCACTACCTTATTTAAGACAATGTTTAGCTGGACTTTCTTGAGTCCACTCTGGCAGGGGATAGGCCATTGCTGCCTTTTTACTGCCAGATAGAAACCCAGGCTCCCTATTTGAACTCCTTTGACACCCAAGAGGCACATGTGGCTCTTCTCTGTGACGAGGAGAAGATATATGCTCTGACCCCTGATGAGGCCTCCGCTGACACCTCCCTGATGTTAGTGGGAAGAGTGGGAACCTGCTCTAGCTATTCCCACTTCCCCTTCACTGACACCATAGGGAGGAGGAAAGAGCAGTACTCTTATTATCACAGGTGGTGTTGAAAGTCCTGACTTCTTGCTTGATCTTCCCTGACATGACCCCAAGGGAAGGAAGAACAGACACCTAATTGCTCTCCAGTGGGGATGGCTGTTTAGCCTTCTCACCTGGGGGAGTTCAGTACTGCCTAGTGGGATCATTGGGTTGCCTGGTGAGGGTAGAGGTCCATGATTTCTACTTGCCCTTTCCTTGAGTGAATGGGTGTGGTCTTTAGTGAAGTACAGCTAAGACTTTCTAAGACTTTTCTGACTTGCCACTCTGCTTCTTTCCTGGTTCCCTGGCTAGAGAGAGATTTATTTGTCTGTATTTGTTATTTCTGAGTTGCTGGTGTTCTGTGGCTCTTGTTCCTTAGGTCTTGAGGTCCCTAGCCAGTCTGCCTTCTGTCCACCTTTCAGAGTCTTCTTACATTAGGTTTACACATGAGGTTTTTAGTTGTACTTAGTGGGAGGATAGAGAAACGTAAGTCTATTCCATCTCCTTGAAGAAATCTGCCTTCACTGTTATTTTGATGTATATTATTTCCATGTAATCTTGTTTCATAAGACAATGTTAATTATGATTGTCAAACCAGCAACCCATGATGTTTGCACCATACTTTTTTACTGCACAACAAGTGATGTTAAACTCTGCCTTCCAACCACCATCAATACTAGGCAGTGAGAAATCGTATTAGTGGTACATTATCTAAGATTTCAGTCTCATTATTATATGGAGAATTTTACCCTATGACAAGTCAGACCTCAAAGCCTGCCTATCTGGTCCCTTAGAGAAATGTGAGGCAGGTGTTCTTACCACTTGAGGCACTCCCCTAGCTAGAGAAATGCTAATGTGAAAATGTGCCAATAGTACGAGGCCCAAATTGAGCAGTACTTTTTTAAAAAAGTGTACAAATAGTAAAAGGTGAACCAAGCATGGTAGCACCTACCTGGAATCCTAGCACTTAGAAGACTGAGGTAGGAACATAGTAAGATTGAGGTCTTAGAAGACCCTGTCTCATAAAATAAAATAAAATGTTATTTATTTTTTATAAGTATGGGTGCTATTGGAACACAATTTACCAGTGTCAAAGCATCCCTTTGTGAAGACAATGACAGAATTGTCTTTAGTTTTGTACCTCAAGCAGCTGAACAACCAAGTTAATTTTTATATTTTGAAATTTGTAAAGCCAATCGTTTCTTATCTGTCTGCCAGAAAGTTCTAGAGTGAAGTTTTGGCAATACACCACGTATTGGCCTTTTCCTTCATTTCCACATTGATTTAACTTTCATCTAGTTTTCCACATTTGTTTTGTCCAGTAGTTTTGTGTACATTCGGTACCTGGTCTCATTTATTGTAGAAATAGGTGGGTTACTGAATACGTGAGAACATGAGAACCCTGCCGAGCTCGATTCAGTAGGACAGACTCACAAGAGGAATTTAATGGCGGTTACCATTTTGACTTTGTACTGCCACTTTCTCCAGAGGTCCTACAAGAATGGATTTTTTCTCATATAGTTTACATTGCACTTGTAAGATAAGTTTTTTTTTTTTTCTCTTTTCGGTACTGGGGGTTGAACTCAGGGCCTTATGCTCACAGGTCAGGCACTCTACCACTTGAGTCACACCTCCCCACCAGCCCTTTTGGTGTTGGGCATTATTTTTGAGATAGGATCTTGTTTTATGCCCAGGCTGGCATTGCCCATGATCCTCTTATTTGTGCCTCCTGAGTCGCTAGGATGACAGGCACCACCACTACAGCCAGCTATTGGTTGAGATGGAAATCTCATGAACTCTTTGGTTGGGCTGGCCTCGGACCTTGATTCTTCTGATTTCTACCTCCCAAATAGCTAGGCTTATAGGATTGAGCCACCATGCCCAACAGAGAAGAGTTTTTGTAAAGTAGAAACACAAGTACTACCTGGAGAACTGAAGCACCGCTGTGGAGAAACTGAAGACCACTTTCAGCTGAGTCAATTCCACCAGTGGCCAAAATAGGAAATCCAGGCAAAGCTCGGGCAATGGAAGTCACAGCTTTCAAAGCAATAGGTCTGATTGCTGTCCCTGCAGAAAGCCAGAAAAAGCAACGGTCAGCCTATCAGCCACTGGGCCACACTGCCTTACACATAATGGCAATACCATACTGGACAAATTTTAAATTTCTTTATCTCTAAGATGTGCACACATATAATGCATAAGCAACTTGTTTCAAGTATGTTAACTTGTCGATGGATGTGCATTTATTTTAAGGGCTTTGATGCCGTTATCAAAAGGAGACAAGGTATGCAAGTGGGTGTAGCAACCTCAGAACTCTTACATAAAATACATGCAAATTACAACTTGAAATACAGTAATGTGTAAAGATGGAATGGCACATTCAAGCATCTGTTTTAAAAAGAACAAGGAACAGCAGGTTTTGAAAAAGAAAAACCATTGCACTCAGCACATAAATAGACACACAACTCTGTTATGTTTCGGCAATGCTTAAAGCAGCTGGTGCAAATATAGCGACCGTGAAAGCAAGCAAGGTGCTGATGAACTTACGGATTCCATATTGCTTTGTACACGTATTTCCCACAACTAGAAGAAGCATAGCGAGTCTACTGTAACTTCTCATGTATTAGAAAGTCTTAACCAAGTTAAAGAGTATTTACAGAAATCTTGTAATTGCCATGTGTGTCTTTATATATACATATAAATATTTATATACTAACATATTTAATTAGCCAGACAACACCAGGACATTACTCCCTTGTAGCCATGAAGACTGCATGGATGGGCAGAACATTTTGTGGTCATTCTAAATATGAATATATTATGATAAGACTAATTTTTAGCCACAAATGTTACATATCCCGGTGTAAACTAATGCTTCGATTTATTCACGTATTTATTTTCAGTAGTGGGGTGTTGAAGCCAGGGTGTCACATGTGCTAAGCAAGTGCTGTACCATTTATTTGTATTTTGTTTTGGAGATAGGGTCTTGCTAACCTTGCACATTTCGAACATGAAATGCCCCCCACCCCGGCTTCTCTGTATGTCTCCAGGCCTAGGCTACATTAATGCATTTATAAAAGAAATATAATTTGATATTCCTGGTGTTTACTCAGAAGTCAACAGTCCTTTAAAGGCATTTTCGGAATGAAAGATAGTTCTATTTCTGCAAGAATTTGACCTTAAACCAGGGCCCAACAAACAACACAAACATGCAATGAGTTCATCTCTGTGGTATTTCTCCATGACTTCCACCATCACACAAGCATCAGCATTTACAATATGAATTTACTGGAGAGTTCACTTCCTTAAGGAAAGGAAGCACACCGACCTTTCCTTAAAATTAGTGGCTTTTAACCAGAAAAGACTACATATGGTATAATTCTGACTATGGTATGATCTTCTGGAATAGGTGAAACTATGGAAACTGTAAAAAGTTCAGTAGTTGGGGAGATGAGGGCAGAAAAGGGAGGGGGAGATGAGTAGGCAGAACTAAGAAGATTGTTTTAGGACAGCAAAATAGCATGTGTGATACAATAATAGGGAATCCATGTGCAACGCTGTGAGTCAACCCTAATTGAACTGGGGACATTGAGTGTCACGTGTCTATGTTGGTTCATCAGTTCCAACAAGAGTATGACATTGGTGACAAACATTGAATATGAGGGAAGCTTTCATAGGAGCTACAAGCAGGTAGTTGGTATATGGGAAATCATTGTGCCGTTCTCTCAATTTTGCTCTGAGCATAAAAATGTTCTGAAAAGAAATTCTTTGAAAAAGCCAGTGGCTTTATTTTTATCCTGTTCATATCTACTTAGAGATAACTAAATTTATGTATAAAGGTTTGTGGAAATGTCCACTTGTTCCTCTGATAGGTTAAAAAAGCTTCCTCTAGATGCTAATGTTTCTTAGTCAAGGATATTCAAGGCTAACCCTTCAGAATTCTGTACCAGACATTTAGAAAACATGGTAGTAAGTCAGGGCAAATCAGAAACCATACATGGAGGTTCTATTTCTATATCAAAATATTTATCAGTGAATTCTTTTTAGTCTTTATGTTTTAACCCCCAAAAAATGGCTAACAGTGGACAGGAGAACTTATAGTGAGAACACACACACACATTTATATACACACATCAACACATGTACTGAAAAGAAATCTGAGGAAAAATAAAAGTTAAAGGCCAGCATTTTTTACCGAAACTTGCAACATCAGCCACAGCTAGATATTCAGCTATCTCTGCATAATATAACTGACACGCTCAATCCATATGAAGCTAATGGGTTCTTTACGTACATGTTGCTTTGAAGTAATAAAGAAATATTGGCCTTCTTTACCCCTTATTTAGTTTACCCAAGAGACTCCAGGAAATTTAAACTAAGCAGATAAATAATTTATTCCTAACCACACTGTTAGAAGACTATCATTAACATGAAGGGGGTGAAATTTCCAAGTGCTATACAGGGATTTGGACGTATACTCCAATTGATATTAATGGATATCAAATGGTGAAATCCCAGGACACAGCTTTGAAAATTTAACCAGTTACCTTTAAAGGGCACCATTATTACAAAGGTGTTCAAAAACACTAGCAAGTCCTCAGTGGCGTTTGAAGGTGATATTCAACCAGGTCAATAAAACATTTTCTATTTCACATTTCCCTTCCATTCCTAGAATCCTTCTCATCTACTAATGAACATGAAAACATTTGAAACTAATAAAGTTACCTTACTTTTTAAAAAAAAAAAATTAAGACTAATTCTGTTTTCTGAGGTAATGCGATCCAAAACTGAAAAAAAATGGAACCTTCGATAGCTGGCCAATAGTAAATTGAGTTCTTATTTCCATTATAAACTCTATTTGATTTTTTAAAAAATTACTCAACTGACTTAATATGACACATAATCTACCTGTTCTCAGAACTTTTATTGAGAATAGGTTTTATAAATGACTTTCATTCACCAAAAGGAAACAGAAGGCATATAAAAGGATCTTTCTGAATTGTAATATCGAAATTCCTTTTTAGTTTTAAGATCATGGAAATGAAGAATAGCTTCAAGATAAAAACAAAAATTTTAGTGTAAAGAAAATACCTATGTCAGTGTAATACAGAGTTGCAGATGTGCCAATTAAAATGTACAAAGACTTCCAGAATCACACCTTTCAAGATAAATGATTTTTGAAAATTTGTCACTGCTATGATTATTGCTATTAACCAAAGACTGGGGATAAAGAAGCCAGTCTGAGAGGCTTGAGAAATAGGAAGGTAGACTCCATCCTTAAGGAAACAAGGTTTAACTCTAGAAATGGGAACCCTATCACCTGGAAGAACTAACAGATAACATGCAATTTAAACTAAGTCCTCTCTACATGGGATGGCCAGGCAAACTTGACAGGACATTCAGCTACATCCAGCCATTGGTTTCCACAGCATGGAATCCTCCAGTAAAGACTGTGCCATTCTAGATTCTTGTGTTATGAAACAAGCTGTATGTTCCAAAAAAACAGTGAAAAAAAATGAATTTGGATCTTTGATTTGCAACATTTCTGACAAAAAATTCTGATTTTTCCCTAATGTGGCCCTCACTGAGTAGCTGATGGGCAAAACTGAAGTGTCACTTTCAGTCACTAATTTGTCTGGGCTCCCTATGTACCAACTTAACATGTCAAGTAGTGAGTTGGAGCCATAGAGCTGCTTTGATAAACAGCACAGAACTTTTCTGGACTGATTCTTAGTAAGCTGGAGATTTTGAATGAAGTTCCTCAATCTGACAAATGTCACTTGTCTGATCTCATGGTAAATACTATTTCAAGAATGCTACCATTAGCTATTACGGTATTTTATATTGGTATGCAAATGTGAATGCATCATAACTTAGCCAGGTTCTTTACTCAGTCTTCATTTACACATTGATTTGTCCATTTGCCTACACACAAAATATTTATTAAGCACCTATGTCTTTTGTTCTGATTAATCTTTTTGTGTTCTAACCTCATACCCAGGGTAGTTACCCTCAACACCAGTCCTCAATATATTTATGTGTTGTTTCAAGGTAAATAATTTGTGCCTATTATGCATTGTTATGCTAGTGTTCCATCAGAAAAAGTTCACATTTGTCTGAACATCACACATTTTACACATATTATTAAGAGGAAGAAATCTGAGAATAGAGTGCCTGTAACAACATCAAACAGACTAGGAGGCCAGCTGCTCAGGCTTGATCCTAACTCCACTACTTAAAGGCCATGTGGTGTCGTGAAAATTTCTCAACCTCATTGTGCTTCAATTTTGACATCTACAAAACAATGAAAATTGTAATAAGAACATCACAGAGTTGTTTCGAGGACTAAGTGGTTTAATATATTTCAAGGGCACATATTAAAAATTGTGGAAGAGTTTGCTAATCTAATCTGTGCTACCCTCAAGGAGAGTTGATTTCTCAGGGAGCACTTTCTTAGTTTACCTTGACTTTGTACTCTATGTTGTTTTTCTGTGTTTAGTGATGCAGTGAAACCAACTTTTAAACTGGAAACAAAGGCACAGTGCCGGTGATGACAGGACGTTAAATCCTCTGACATCTTAAGGGAACCATGCATGTTCCCTCTTTTTGCTTCTTCACAATGTTGATAAAATTACTTTGACTCCAAAGGTTAAAATATATCTCAAAGGCAGACATCAATATATTTAAGAATTCTGTTTGAAAATCAAAAGGTCCACTCACGAAACCCATACACAAGGATTTTAATGACATCAGAAATGAAGTTTATTGGTGAACAAGGGAGGATTTACTTTGCATGGCTGAGTCATTTAAGAGAAAAGGAATTTTAATGGGCAGATAGTGTGGAACATATGCTAATTTTGGATAACTGGAATTTTGAATAGTCGAGTTTAATTCTGTTTGTTTTTTTCCCTAATCATTCCACTCCTAGGACAGCTACTGTTACACAATTAATTGTTAGAACTAAGTCCACAATAAACTCCCTGATAATAGCCTTAGCTGGCAATAAAACAAAAACTGGGTTATAATACTCACTTGTGTTCACTGTGTATACAAAAGGAAAATGTAGC